AAGTATCTAACCAAACAATATCTATAATTAGGGAGAGTTAGAGGAATATTCTTTTTGAAAGCAAGATAGAGTACACAAAGAATTACTGGATCATCAAACCCAATGTGCTTACTTTATAAAAGACTAAAAATTTAGCAAAACAATTTATCTAAGATTAGAGTGTTAAGTATATGGAAGAGGTGGAACACACACAGATGCCCTAGCATCCATTTTTTGCACACTGTTGCCTCTTGAATAGACGCCAATGAACAAAGGATTAATACCTTCCATTATTCTTTATGTGTTGTGAGCACACTTACTCTGAATTACTAGAGGTAGTAAGGGAAACCAAGATTTTTAAAAGAGGTCCAATAGCAAGTAACACATATATACACAGAGAAAATGTAAATAATAAATATGAAAAGATACTCAACTTTGGCTATAATCAAAGAAATATAAATTTAAATTAAATACCACTTCTGGCCTACTAAGCCAGAACAGATTATAAAAACACCTACTGTCTATTAAGTGTAGGGCAGTGAGCACACTCTTATGCTATTGGTAGAAATACACACTGGCACAATTTTTCAGCAGGGCAATCTGGTACCATGTATGAGAAATCCTAAATAAAAGATATACCATATATCCTAAGAAATATAATTCTAGAAGTATCCTGAGGGTGTACTTGGAGATTTTTCAGTGAACATCAATCATATCTTTTGTACATTTAGCAAAATTCTCAAAAACTGGAGATAATAACCTAAATGTCTTTTTTAAAAAAATTATTGTTGTACTGGGGGTACACTGTGGCGTTTACCAAAGTTCTTACAATATCTCATAGTTCTTTACCTTCCCTCCCCCATTCCTGGAATAGTTTCAACAGGTCTCATTTTTCCATTTTCAGACTTGAGTACATAGTATCTCCACCATATTTACCCTCCCACACCCTTTTCTTATATACTACCCCCTTCCACTGGTACCAACCCCTAGACAGAACCTGTTTTACCTTCCTAATCTCCACTTTTGAAAAAGACATTTTGGCTTGTCATTAGTTTCATTGTGACATTTCTATATATACATATATTATAACCCAAGTTGGTTCATCCCCCCTATTTTTCTCTTTTCTTCCTTAGTCCCCTTCTATGGTGATTTCAACAGGTTTAAAAATCTATATTCATTATCATATAGAACAAAAGATGATGTTATAAGAAAAATTTGAAGTTATAGTATATAAACACTGAATTATTATACTATACAACTATTTAAAAATCATGTTACACAGTTTAGAATATATTTTCAGTAATTGTCAATGAGGCATCATCTCTAATACTTTTCTAAATTCTAACCCATCAGACATATTATTGAATTCAGATACAGTGCCTCTTAACCCTGGGTACATGATAGAGTCAAATAAAGAATGTAAAGGGTTAAGAACTCTCTGTTTATCTGTCTATCTCACTCTCTTTGGGCAGCATACAAAAATAGAAGAATTTCACTAATAATATATGCAAATGACTTTTACACATAAAAAACACATTACATTAAAGAGGAGCAAATTAAAACACACTGAGAGAGCATTTTTCAACTATTAATGACAAATACCCAATCAATCTTTTAATATCATACATTGATAAGGCCATAGGAAAACTGTTACATTGTTCCCAAGATCACAAAATGGCACAAGTCCCTGCATAGAGAATTTCATAATATCTAGCAACATGTACAAAGTTACATATGCTGTCCACTTGCCTTTTGCCCAAGCAACTTCACTTACTTACAGGAATCTATCACAAAGTATACCATCAAAACTATGTATGCATAAGCTAGTGTTTGCAGAACTATTTGTAGCAGCAAACAAACAGAAACATCAGTGGACTGGCAGATCTATATAGACCTATATAGTGGAACATAAGTGGTTTAAGAATAAATATAGAATTTAAAGATACTTAAAATTAATGTATTCTTAGCTTCCTAAAGTAAGCAAACTTTTCTTAGTTTCCTAGGATATTGAACAAACCAAAAGCTGTAACTGTAAAATCTTAACAGTTCAAGCACGGGACAACTAGGGCTAGTAACAGCTTATGATCTCTAAACATAATTATCAAGGGATTAACAAGAAAACATCTTCAATGAAGCCACTGTAGTGGAGTTAAAAATCTCTGAACCACCAAAGAACTTACTTAGGTATATGAGAACTTCATTCCAAGTTAGCCTTATTTCTCTTATCTCACTTTTTCAAAACTCTTGCATTCAACCAATGCAAAAAGAACAATGCTAGGAAATAATTAAGCAGAAGTAATCATTCTTAATCCTTAATAAAACTGTCTCAGGTACAAAGATAAATAGAAAAGGGCCAATTAATAATACATATTTAATATCTATATAAAAGTTCAGGAGAAAAGTTATCACCTTGAGTTTTTGTGCTTAATTACCCATCCAAGAAAGGTCTTTTAGGCATAGAGTGACGTTCTAAAATGCTTTTGTGACTGAAGAGACAGCTAACTGGCCCCTGGAAGTTTAGGATTATTTCAGTTGTTATTTTACCAACAGCACTATATACTGTATAGTAAGAGAAAATATGGCTGTTTGGAGCAGGCCATTTAAGGAAAAAACGATGACCTAAGCAAACTGGGAATTTAGATTTTCTATGTCTATATCTGGAAGGCATAAAGGTGAAGCTGGAGGGGAAGGTGGAGGAGGAAAAGAGTACATTGGGAACATAGTATGTGGGATACTGAGCAAGCAGGTTTCATCACTATGAGAGAATTATTAGTCAGTTAAGCAGCTCAAAGTTGTGATTAGATGGATGTTTTACAAATATTTGCTAACTAGTATAAGATTATTAGAACTAGGGTAAACACTGTGTTCAAATTCAATCTAGTTTGACTTGTAATTCTGGTTTATTAAACCTTTTTATGACTATTTTTCAGTCCATTAATCTGTACAGGTATTCTCTAAAACATGTAAGCTTCTAGTTTTCTACGTCTGCTTAGAAAGATAAATACAGAAAATATTTTAGTTAAATCTAAATTTTATTTGGAAAAACAATTCTTCCCTTATACAGGAAGATTTTCTAGAAAAAAAAAACATGACTTAGTTCAAATTAATTTTTTCTCCTTCTTAAATTTAGCTCTACAACCAAAGAATACCATTTGAACAAAGTATATCTGACATAGTTTCCTATTCAGTGGTTCAACTTCTCTTTCCAATGTCTTATGGTATTTTTCCTTTTGTACTTTTCAATAACCTAAAAATAATTTCTAGCAAACAACTCTTTTTTTTGGCAATCTTTTTTCTTTTATTCATATGTGCATACAATGTTCAGCTCATTTCTCTCCGCTTCCCCCTTGCCCCGCCCCCTCCTCCTCCCCCCACCCCCTCCTCCTCCCCCCACCACCCCCTCCTCCTCCTGCCCCCCACTCCCTCGCTAATAGGCAGAAACAATTTTGCCCTTATCTCTAATTTTGTTGAAGAGAGAGTATAAGCAATAATAGACAGGACCAAGGGTTTTTGCTAGTTGAGATAAGGATAGCTATACAGGGAGTTGACTAGCATAGCAGACAACTCTTACTTAATTGAATTCATTTTATGGATAAGGAAAAGATTAGTAGATACTGTCCTTAAGGAGAGAGTGGTCTCTAAGAATAGTATTATTCCAGCAAAAAAGAATCAGTGTATAATGAAATTACCAAAAAAGCAAAAACAAAGAAAAAACAACAACCACACTAGACTATTTTCCTCTATACAGAGAAGTCATTCATTGTTGCATACTTTAAGAAGTGGCACTAAGACATTCCATCATTTAATACTACCACGTTTATAAGCCACTTTTAGTTCTCAAAAGAATTTTGGCATCTCATTTAGTTTTTTATAGTGCTTTTCCTGAAAAGAGCCAAATGTTGAATATAGGTTTTAAAGATGGCTTGCAAGTCACAGAAAGAAAGAGACAAACTATTTCAAACACAAGTATGAAACATTTGATGTGATATAGTGCAAGTCATGAAACCTGTTTCTAGATCCAGTTCGGCCTGTAACCAGCTAGCTGGCTTACTGAGTTATTTCATATGGTTCTTAAACTGTAAAGAAAGTTCCTATTACTCAATGTTCATCTTAAATTTGGCTTTCTAAGAATCTAGCACAATTATTTTCAAATACATTGTGCCCAATGTAGGCACAGTATTTTGCCAAATGGAGTTAGACCTTCGCCTCTGTCTCAATTTGATGTGAAGCCTGGGTTGCTTAGGTTGCACCCTCAAGATGCATTTTGGAGGAAGAGGCACTGAGATTCTTTTGTAAGAAGGGATGATGCTAAGTACTTTAGGAAGTTAAGTAATAAGTGCACATGCATGCAGAAGAACTGGTCATTTCTCAAGCCAGGAGCACTGCCGACACAATACGCTCGTAGGACAGGAAGGTTGTAACAAGATTCGACAAAGGCCTTGAGTTGAGCCTGCAAGATAATCACACCCTCCACCTTCTCAAACCCTTATTCCCTCAGTAGGCACCAAACCCTCCCCAGTTCCGGGTTTCCAGCCAATCGTATGAAGCCACAACACAGGGCTTCTGCCAGCCCGGGCTCGGATTCAGGGATTCTGGAGTGAGATTCACGCGACCCCAGCACCTGTCGGCTTTGCTCCCTTCTCATACGGAGGAGGTGAGGGAAAACACTATTAGCTCTGGCCTCGGTCCGTGGGATTCAGTTTACCACCAGGTCCACTCGCCCTCGAACGTGAACCGACTCCGGTACCCGGGTGTGGGGAAGAGCCCTTCCGCTGTGACCCTCTCACCGATCACTCCCCCGGGACTAATTCTCCCGCTTACGGGGCTTAGTCCCCCACCATAGCTTCTCAGGCCTCAAGGACCAGAGAAGCCAAAAGGCAGATGGCCAAAGTGACGGCAGCGGGGGAGGGTGCAGTCCTCCTACCAGAGGACATCGTAGGAAAGCAGCATCGTTCCCGGCGGCAAGGGCGGAGGCGGTCGCTGCGTCTGTCGAAGGGTCTGTCATTCCCCCAGTCACTCACCAGGAGCAGCAGGGAGCATCTGAGGTCGGGTAAAGACAGGAAGACTGCAGGATTCATGGTAACGCTGGGGTCCGCGGCAGGGACAGGAGTTGGCGGCTAGGACTGGGCTGGGCTGGGCTGGGCTAGGAAAGGGCTGGGCTCCGGGAGCCGGTGGCGGCACCTCGTCCTCTCGACCCGGAGCTCCAGCAGCGAACACCGGGACAACTTCCAGAGAGGCCTTTGCACGCCCTCACTTCCGGGTCCTGCCCACCTCGTAGCACGTCGGGAAATGTAGTCTTACACTTCTCTCACCGCGCAAGTCATCAGGCATCCAGAACTCCCTTTCCCAGCAGGCCCTCGACCCAGACCCGCCGAGCCCTCTGCGTACGGGGCCTTGTGGGATTGAAAGAGCGGAGGGCCGCGTACCTCTGCGCTTCCCAGGATGGAAACTACAATTCCCAGAAGGCTATGCGGCCTAGCGCCTCCGGAGGCCTTCGTGGGGCTAGCTGGCTTCGGTGCTCTAAGGTCTGACTCTGCCCGGGTAGTGGCCTGGCCTGGCGGGAGGACGGCCCCGTGGGGGTCGTGCCTCCTGGGGCCGCCCCAGGACGTCAGTCCTGGAGGAGGCGAGGGTGAGTAGGAAGGGGCCTGGCTGGGGAGGCTCGGATCATCTCTGTGCACTTCCCTAGCCGCTGCCGCAGACCCAAGGCCCTCCTGGCCTTACCCTTCATCACTGGCCCTCTCATCTGCTGCCTCTTCTTTCTTCGCTATTGCCTTCGTATAGCCACCACCCGGGGCTTCAATGAATCAAAGACTTATCTCTGATTGTTTCTGAGGGCTCCTGTGAGGAGTAGATATGGAAAGGGCTGTAAACTGCAAAGCGCAGTGCCAGAGCGTTTGCTTCTAATGCATGGATCTCTCCTACAGAACAGTTATGAAATTCCTTGGCCAAGCAGTCGAGGATTTCAACGTGGTCCCCGATAACTCTCCAGCATCCTCTGTACACACCCAGCCAGGTCCACGTGCCCAGATAGCTAACCACATAATCACCCTAAGCACCTACAAGGCACTCTGCGCTTTTGTGCCTGTCCTCACTCCTTGCCTTTGCTTCAGCTCTTCTGCTGCCCGAAATGGCCTTATCCACTTCTCTTTCCGGAATGCCATCTCAAATGTCAACATCTCTGACATCTGTCATCCCTGACATCCGTCACAACAGACCAACCCTTTCGTCCTAACCAGAATTACTCTTAGTGTGTGACTACGGTACCACTAGTTTTGCACAGTTATAATTACTACGGCGTTTATTACACTGGCTTGTTTTATAACTATTTAATGATGATGATACCTTTGCATTTATAGCACTTTAACAAAGTGGTTTTGATTTTCACTTATAAAAAGTGATTTACAAAAAAAAAAAAATCAGTGATAGGGTTGGGAACTTGGCTAAAGAGGGAGATTGCTTGCCAAGGAAGCCTAAGGCCCTGAGTTCAATCCCTAATACTAAAAAAGCCCCCCAAAACTTGCATTTGTGCTTAAAAGAACCCTAGGGGAGTGGCTTTCCCAAGGTAATGAAATTAACACAGTGGGAGAGCCTAATTCCTTGTGCAGTGCTACTATCTCTATACCTCTCATCTACCTCTTTGACAGAGTCCAAGTATAATTTAAGAGGGGAATTAAAAAAAAAGAAGAGGGACTCATGAGCATGAACTCATTACTCCAAAAAGTTAGACTTGGATCCTGCTTACCCTTTGGACTTAGCACTCAGCCTATGACCTTTCATTCAACAAACATTTACTGAGCACTAACTATATGCTTGTTACTTTGCTAAGTACTAAGAATTATGAGGTGAAATATATAAATATATGTAAATTGAAGTTTAATTTCTCAAAGTATGTAAAGAAGTTTTTTTTTTATGGTTCTGACATGCCTAAAATGACAGGTCTTAGAGTTTAGAAAAATGCCTAGCACACAGTTGGCAATCAACTTGTTAAATGAATAAACATCGTGCACCCTTTGCTTTTTTTATATTTTACAGAAGTCCAGAGAGCTGAGGTAGTCTCAGGACAAACTACTGATTATTGACAAAACCAAGCCTAGAACTCAAGTGTAATTACTCTTCTACCATGTTTCTATCTCCACCCTGTTTTATAACTTCTCCTAATTTTGTTATAGTCCAGTATATGATAGTGGTTCTTTTGCCATCACAGGCAGGCTCAGACATGAGAAGTGTCTCAACATACTTCACAGTTTCTGCCAACGTGTTAATTCAGATTGTCAGCAAAATAAAGACATAAGAGCTAACCTTCACCATAATTAAAAAATTTTTTTCTCTAAAATAGAATTTGATCTAGTAATCCAACACAAAAACTAGCTCATTGGTTGTGGAACAAACCCAGAGTTTTGGGAGCAAAACTCCTAGATCCCCAAGAGATAAAGATATTGAAGTGGTATGATTTTTGGTGAAGTCAGAAGAAGACTTGCTTGCCTTCATGGCAACAATTAACTAGAGCTCAATGCTTGTTTTAGATAAGTATGTATGCTCCAGTTTGCCATGATCCTCGTGATTCCTACATTTCTTACACTTGTTACCTTTCTGGTCCTTTTAAGCATTCAATTTAGGAACTTTGATAGAGCATGTTAGGTTTAGTATGGATATTTAAGATGAACAATGCACCTACCCCTTTCTCCTTCCCATCAGATGCTTGAATTCTTACTACATTTCTGACAGAGTCCAGCCTCTGCTTAAACACTTCTTGATAGGGAACTCATTATTTTCCTATGTACTCAATATATCTGTAGAAAGCGCTCAAAAACCACATGAGGCTAACAGTAAGAATAAACTTTTCCCTATTGAAATATGGTTTGCCTGGTGCTGGTGGCTCACAACTTGTAACCCTAGCTAATTGGGAGACTGAGATTGGGAGGATTGAGGCCAGCCTAATCAAATAGTTCTCGAGACCTCTACCTCTATCTCCAAAATAACCAGAGCAAAAAAAACAAAAAAGAAGAAAAAGAAAAAAAATGGACTGGAAGTGTGGCTCAAGCAGTGAAGTGCCTGCTTTGTAAACACAAAGCCCAGAGTCCAAACCCCAGTTCCCTCAAAAAAAAAAGAAAGAAAGAAAAGAAATATGGTTAATCCTAAAGATATGTAAGTAAGAAGTTATGGTCAAGATCTCAAGCCAGTTATATTTATTTCCCTGTTGGGTGAAGGAGAAAACAAATTTAAAAATTACCTTTTGTGTATATGAGGAACTAGGTACCTTTTAACTTAGTGTTTAAATTTGGTTAATTCTGACTTGACAATTAAGTTTACATCATACTCTTTTTCTGGTCTGATCAACACTTGATTCCCAATATCCATTCTAATATTTAGTATTCTTTGAGATCATATTACCTGTATAACTTGGAAGTCACTGTGACTTGAACTCTGTGCCTAATGTTAAATATACAGAAGTCATATCATTTGCCACATTATGGCCATTCTAAGACTAGAAGTATAGTTTTGGTTTTTTTAATCATAGTAAACCCTGTTTGTAACATATCTACCTGGAACTGAGGAGACAAGTTTCAGAAGTGTTTCCTGCATGTACTTACTGTCTGAATCATTATTTCAGGTTGCACTGGTTGTTGAGCAGACTATGAGTAGATCAGAGAATCTGCTTTCTGCTGGTTCTTCATTAGCATCACAAGTTCATGCTGCTGCAGTTAATGGAGATAAAGGTGCTCTTCAGAAACTCATCACAGGTAAGCAGTCCCCTTAAATTCAGAAAGTAAAAGCAACCATTTGTTCTAAGGGAGTTTCTTAATCATAGTTTTAATTTGCAATGTTCTTATACATTTTAATGAAAATATATTAGCACTTATGTTTTATTCCAAGATTTAGACAGGACAGACATTAAGTCCTGAAACTTAAAAACATGGATTAGGATTAAGTGAAAAGTATTTAAGACTTTTTTGTGTATTTGGCACAGAATCTAGTCAATATGTTATTAGAAAGGGAATCACTTTGTCTTTCTTATTATGCTTATGTCTTCTCTTCAACAAAATTAGAGATAAGGGCAGAACAGGTTCTGCCTGGAAGTGAGGGAGGGTGGGGGGGAAAAGGTGGGGGCGGGGGGCAGGGGGAAGAAATGACCCAAACAATGTATGACATGTGAATAAATGAATTGAAAGAAAAAAAGGGGAATGAGTTTGGATTGGGGATGTGGGATTGTGACTCAGTGCTTACCTAGCTAGCATTAGTAAGGCCCTAGGCTGCATCCCTAGCACTGCCTTACCCCCCAATGGAATTAATCCATCCTTATAACAACAAAGACCTAGAATGAGATAGTAGATAATAATTATCTTTTAACATTTGATATACAGTATACTCAAAGTACTAATGTTTATAAATAAGTTTTCATGATTTAAAATTGAATCAATATTCTCTCTCCCATTTATATGTATGTATGATATTTTGAAATCTAGTGTAGAAGTTCTAGAAGAAGAGAACAAAATGAATAGAGGAGAGGCAGTATTCAAGGACAGAATGGCTAAGAATTTTTCAGAATTGTAAAAATCACAAGTCTGCATACCTACAAGTCTCAAATAGAATAAATAAAGTAAAATATATATTATTTGTAATATCTATGCTATATATACCAGTGTCTGGTGACATCATGATTGACAACTTGGGCTGCAAAATAGAATCCAAACTATTTGAACTTTCATACTCATTCCTTCAGAGTTTGTTTTCATCTTACATTTCCAGTTTCTCCAGAAACTTCTAACCCAATGTACACTAATCTCTGGTGAGGTTAGAGGTTATTCTATTCCCCAATACTTTTGTCTATACTTTCTGCTCCCTATCCTCTTTTTCTTTCCTCCTGCTACTACCTTATCTTCTCTACTAAATAAACCTCTACTCCGCTTTAGATGCAAAACTATGTGCCACATATGAAGATTTATCTTCCTTACTTCATCTCATCTGCCTACACTCAGTTCCTCCCTGGAACTTGACATCTTCCACAGCCTCCCTATCACTCATTTGAACATTCCATCATTCACCTAAAAGGCTTTTACTTCCAGCTCACTTAGTACTGAAAAACAGTAGTTTCCCATCTTCCTGAGACTTCTCATCTATTATCTTCTCTAGTTTTGACCACCAGTCTTTTTCTGTCTTTACCTTTCTCCCTCTTCAACCTTGATTCTGTGGTCTGTGATTAAAACCCTGGGAAATATTCTCTTTTTTTCCCTCACCTCCTGTTTCACCTGGCTGTTG